TGGTCAGCCACGTCCTGCGCCTAGCCAAGACATTGGCAATATCCCAACACTGTATGCACTGTTTGTGTTCTATCCTCAAAAGCCCCTCAAATAAACTCCCCATTCCTCAATCCCAATTCTACCAATCCTAGTGAAACAAGCAAAATCAGCCCAGCTCTCGACATGGTTGTGATTTCTCCCACTATGACTCGATTTAGGTCTCGAAAGTCAAACTCTCACATCTCCAATGATCTCCCCTTTCTGAACTCTTTGTTCCGCAAGTGCTAGGTCAAGATTTTCTGTCTTTCCTCTACCGACCGTTGCGAGATTTCCCTTCCAATCTACCCACTGGATATCGCAACGTAGTATCCTGTTAGCCACTTCGTTATCAAACCCACCAGHGTCTCTTTCCCATTCCYRGGTTATWGTGTTCTGTCAAGACAAATAGCAAATGCAAATAACCATCTACTCATTTTAAAGATATCTCGCAACACAGGTCAGCAGAGAAAAGACAGTCTCGACCCAGTATGACCGGGAGGGTTTTTAAGCAGGCCCTGTTTTCAAGACTATCAATTTCCCCAATGACCCTGCCTCAATAACGAATAGACACGACACTCATTACTCGTTAGCATGGTTTATTAGAACCTTAACTACAAACTCCATGGATCTGCCTATACGTATGCACTCACATGGCATTATCATTTCTCTATTACTATCATTTCTTGTCATTATTGGAGTCCCGTTTTCCGTGCCCAAATGACGGCCCCTGACCCTTCTCCGCAGCTTTCCTTGCCAAGCATTTGATTCATTTTGGCCCACAGTTGGCCTGGTTTATTACAATAATAGCATCTTCGGGGAACCTTGTACCCCCCTGGCTGGCCCTGTAAGGTGTAATCTGACGATCCCACCTTAAATTCTTTACCATCGCCTTCTCAACCATTGCGACTGCCCTAAAAAAAACCTTTTGGTGATCCTTATTTCCCAAAAGCCTCAGAGTCAGTGACCTGAAGTGCTCGTACCGAATATCCATCTTATTCAGAGCACTTTGGTACGCGAGATGGTAATACTCGCGTTTCTCGTGTTTCGTGTCTCTGGCCGTGTTCTAGAGTGTCTCCAGAATTTTTAATGGGTCGGTCGTACTTATTTAACTCCGATTCCGGCCGATTTTCATAATCGAACGCCTTGGCCAGCAAGCCCGCCACGCTTAATTAGCTTCGTCATCTCTTCCACAGATTTCTTCAACAGCGCCACCTCTCCTTTTACTTCAAGTAAAGGTTCACGTTAACTCCCGTTCAATCGGAGGGATTACTCCCACATTGCACAACAACCACACGTATAGTTATTCCGGGACTATCGTTATCCCGAAATACATAATCACTCCGACTGTATCGGTATGAACCAAGTGAGCCTCTCTTACCACTAAGTAGAATAAATATATCAAACGTATGCCATGAACACTCATGCTAACAAACGTTGTTTTAACCCGTGAACATTCCCTCGCTTAATTATGAATGCCAAGAATTGAAGACTTAAAAACTCACTCCACCGCAACCGTTGTTTATACAAATGAGTACTCCGTAATTAAAGCCGAACACAATGCCGTGCTAACGAATCTTCATGTTAACTAGTGACACCTCACTCAGCAAGGCAGCGTTAAAAAGACAACACACACAAAAAAACACTGTGAAAACTCACGCCTCATATCTAATATTGCAGTGAATACTCACTACAACGAACGCTATTTCCACTAGTAAACCTCACTTCATCATGCATGTCCCACATTACAATGCAGTTAAAACTCCGGCAAGCGTCTAATTGTTTTAACCATTGAAAAATCTCAGTCAAAAATGACTCTCAAAAGAATACAGTGAAAACTCACTCGAACAAATGAATCTTTTACCTCTCCTCAATCACTTCAAACAGTGCCGTAAAAACTCACTCGAGCCAGTGAAACCTCACTCTCTCCATCAAGTGAAAACT